CGGGATATATTGTGGAGGTATACTAGCATTTCCCACTAATCTTTCTTCTGAAATATCAGCCATTAGGATGTCTTTGGATTACAAATAGGCTCCTGAAATTGTTAAAACACGCATTTTATGCTCAAAAGAGCCAAAACAGTAACTTCAATGTGTTGTTTCACAAAACGGACACCACGGTTGCATCCAGAATGGTTGAAAATGCTAGGAACTAGCTTGACTCGACCTAAAACCAGTCAAAAAGTCATTGAGTTGGCCAAAAAACCAATCTAACCAAGTTGACTCAGGGAAGGAATATTCTGTCTCTAATAAAGAATATTCTGTCACGAAAATCTTCTCTTACTGTTAACGGAATATTCTTATTCTGTCACTATTAGATGACATGGCTGATGATAGGGCGATGTGGACCCTTTTGTGATGACATGGATGACGACTCAGTTCCATGAGTCTGGTGACGTGGTTGTCTTCTCAGGTTAGAATTCTGGCACTTTTTGGTTTTTCCGGTCGAATTTTTGGTGAAACTTCAGCGAGCTCTACAAGGCTCATTTCAACTTCGATTTTGATGATCTTTATATCATTATACTTGTATTGACGAGAGGAATCTCCATAGGTGGTCAAAACTTGATATAAAGCAGCTATTATAAAGCATAAAAGGCAGGTTCTAGTTATTCTACGTAAGATAAATGATAGGTTTACTATTTGGTCTTTAAAAAGGATCTCTTGTTGTCATAGTGATTACCCTTGAGAAACTAATATGAGGGTTTAATAGGTAATGATATTGTACATGTACCAATCATTATTAATCTAAACACTCAGTAAAGAGTTAGGGTTAATGACACGTTTGAAAGATTGATATCTTCTCCCAAGTGCAAGAAGAAGAAGAAGATGATGAGAACTTTGAGATGGAATATTAATGTAACGATTAAACAATGATAATAACAAATGTCAAGGTTAGAGGTTCCACTAATGGTATATCAAACAAGTATAGTATAAACTCTTATTATTGAATTGGAAACCACACACAAAGGAGGTTCCAATCAGATTATATATTGTTAACATGATTACATTAGTCATCTTATTCAATTAATGCTAATACTTGTAAATCTCGTCAAGCATTCATGATTATAACTTATGTTAACAACAAATCAAGTTCCTTTCATAGCTCAGGTGTCGGTTATACCATACATTATGGGCTATGAAAGTGCCAAGCATTTGTTGTACCAAGTGTTATACAACATAAATCAAGATTAGTCATTTAACAAGCAAAGTATTAAAGAGTGAACAAGATAGCAAATATAAAACATGTTAGTATCAAACATTAAAGTCCATATTAAGTTTACATTATACTTATTCTTACACCATTAGTGTAACCTTTTCACCTTGACATAATTAACTTAGCTAGACATAATGAAAGAAAGCAAAATAGATAAACAAAATAAGAACATAAAAGTTAACTAAGTAAAGGAAAGGAAATGAAAGGCATAAACTTAATATTAATGAAAACAAAGCATAAAAAATACAAAGAGAGAAAGGAAGAGCATGATCTTGATCTGAACACCAAGATGCCTAAATGCATGGCAAATGCCTCCTTTTATAGGCCAAAAATGGGAACTATTGATTTGATGACTAATTGATAAGTGGGTGACCAACTTTTGACTTGGTGACAATCCTTATCTTCTCTTGTCTGCCCAAAACGTCATTGATAACGTCAAAATTGGAGCCAGTTGCAAACATGAAAGTTGTAGGCAATTGTCTCAGCTTTCTTGTGTAAAAACTTCAGCTCATTTGGACTTCTAGAACTCTAGATATGGCCAAAATACCGAACAGTGCTCGGGCTGGAAGACAGATTCGGGCTTCTTTGTTGTTGCTACAATTTGGACTTGATAATGGCCTTTTTAGATCTTGGGCTCCATATGAAAGTTGTAGGCCTATGTCTTACCTTTCCATCCATATAAATTTGACCTAAATCTGAGATATATAGCTCCAGATATGACCCATTTACCGAACAGTGTTCCGGTTTGGATTGCACCGACATCTCTTTTCTAAGTTTGGCCATCTCTTTATCCTTGCAATTTAAGTTCTTCAAGTCATCAATCAATCCTTTCATTTATGTGATAGGTCTGCATTAAAAATAGACATTTACCATAAATTATAGGTATCTTATATTATTAGATACATTATTATAAAACATATTTTAGTTAAGGAGTTATTGATACTTCAAGTGCAAAATGATGATATAAAACCATGATAAAAATGCACTTTTAAATACTAATCATATATTATTGAAAGAATGATACAAATACTCAACTCAATCCAGTATAATCCCACAAAATCCAGTGTTTCACTCTTACACTTGGTGTTTCTCTTAAATCTGCATTTTCTCACTCTCACAGTTGCACTGTCTTCTTTTCTCTACACACACCGCACTCTCTCGTCTCTCTCTCTTTTTAATCTATTTATAGGAGAAATGGAAGCATAATTATAGAGAAAGGGAAAGGAGAGGGTGATTGATGGTAATTGAGAAAAATGTTGACAATTTGCTATAAAAATATCATTTTAACATAAAAATTTAAAAAAATAATAATTAATTTGTACTGAATTTTTTCCCTTTTTAATTTAAACTTGTTCTTCCATACAATCTTATAAAAATTATTAAGCTATAACTTTTATTTTCTTTTAATTGAAACTTGTTCTAACAATTATAATAAAAAGTTTTTCTTAGAAATCCACGCATAAATAAAAATTATTTATGCTTTCTAGAAAGTAAAATTTGTTGAAAGGAAAGGAAGAATTAATAAAATATAAAATTTCATAAAAAATCTTAAAATAAAAGAAAAACCATGTATAGCTTTTAAGATTTAACTTATGGTATATTTTGAATTATGAGTTTAATTTGACTCAAGTTAATTTAAATTAATTTTTTATTTTATAAAAAGATATCATTTTAATATAAAAATTAAAAAAAAAATAATTAATTTGTACTGAATTTTTTCCCTAATCAAGGCATGAATCGATCCAAATTTTCAACCATCAATTCTCCACCTATTTTTTTTTTTTTATTAACGTGGGGTGTCCGGGCCAGCTTACGCGCACCATGACTAATCCCCACGGCCTACTGAACACCCTGCAAACCCAGCAGGCAGGTAAAGCAGCGCGGGGCTGACAGGCATGCAACTCTAAGGCTCGAACCCATGGCAGCCATGCAACTCTAAGGCTCGAACTCATGACAGCGGAAGGCGCAAGACACCTACCACCGCTGGGCCAATGCGCAATTCTCCACCTATTTTCATCAAAAGCCAACTCGTTCTAGACCCCGAATTATCCAAATCATGTATAAACTTGCCGGTTGCTGGGACCATCATGCTATTCTTGCATAAAATATTATAAAATAGTTGAGTGCGAAGAAAACTAATAAAACAAAAATACAGAATAGGAACTTTGCCACGTTGTTTCTGAAGTAACTGAAGGTGGTAAACATACACATCAGCTTAATTCAATCTCCTACCCTTTCCAGGAATTCAATATCTTATCATCTCACAAATATTAAGCATGGTTTGTCTAACGAATTAAGAAGCTGTTTTGGATTTTGATTTATTAAAATATATATCTGTACACATCACTGAGGATCGGCCTCATAGCTCTGGTGAAAAAAATAGGGATTTCGTAGCTGAGTGCTGGTGCAATCTTCACTCAACAGATTATGCCAAGCATGCTTCTGTGGGCTGCACACTTTTACAGCTTATTTGTTACTGGTTATAGAATCTTCACATACTTAAAGATTCGTGTTTCAAAAACATTTAAAAACAAAATTATTTTATTTTATTTTTTATTTGTTACATTTTCAAATCATTTTAATATGCTATGTAAAAATAAATTTTAAAAAATAAAAAATATTATTTTGATATATTTCCCAACAAAAAATAATTTAAAAAACAATCATTACTACAATAACTTTTATAACAAAAGAATCCATCTTTCAACGCATGAACATGACTACAAGACCTGTTCAAGAAAATCTTGAATGATACATGATTTGAGAAAACCTGATAATGTCAGCATATTCATCCTCATACTATAGAGATCATTAGTCATGTTTAGGAAATGTAAACAAGATCAGGAGGAAAATCAAACTGACAATCGGAGCTGCATATTCTTCTCACCTTCACACAGGAGCTGAAAATTAGGGCGAATTTTTAGACGAGAAAGCAATGGGGACGATGAGAACTTGCCACAATAAGATCAAGAGAATCGCCACTCTTTTTTTTTTTTTTTTCCTTGCCCTGATGCTCCCTGCCTAGTTTTACTTATTGATTTAAGACTTTTAAGGATCAACTTCCATTAACAAACCAAAGTGACAGAGACATGCAGCAAGCTAAACTCTGCAAGTAGAAAATCAGGAATACCAGCAATCATCGTTGGGGAAAAAGATATTACTAATTTAACCACAGCAGCACTTTTTCGTATGTACTATTTAATGTTTGCCTTCTACTGTATCCACTTGCACAGTATAAAGCATCATTCAATTATCATTCACAAACTCCCAAAATTGAGAGAATATCAGATTCATGCAACTCTCACATGGAAAACAAAACAAAAATCACCAAAACCCAGAATTCAACATGCGAAACCTTTACAGAAATATATAGCAAGCATAAGGTCCTCTCAAACACAAACCCTGTTAAAGCTTTGAAAATCTGCACAATTACTTGTGGGCCGAAGCCTGAAGAAGTCCATCTCGAATCTGAGTAGCAACATCGCGAATAGCACCAGGTCCATGAGGAATAAACACAGCAGAGGATTTCGAGGCAGCACTGATTTCCTTCATTGTGTCGAAGTACTGGGTGACCAGGACCATGTCCATGACATCCTTTGCAGAGGTCCCTGGCACATTCTCAGAGAAGCCCAACACGCTATCTCTCAAGCCATCCACAATTGCTTGTCGCTGGCGAGCAATACCCAGTCCAGAGAGATACTTTGATTCAGCCTCACCCTCAGCTCTCTTGATTTGTAGAATCTTCTCAGCCTCTGCCTTCTCATTAGCCGCCACTCTCAGTCTTGCAGCTGAGAAAGAGACAGGTTTATCAGGAAAAGATGTTGAGCGACACATGCAAAGATTCTGAAATCTCTCAACGTTGATATCACAGAAAAATCCAATCAGAAGAATCATGAAAGTGACTGGAGTTAATAGACATTATTCACTACAGGAGAAGTTGAATTCACACGGGTAGGATATCATCTGGACCAAAGAAATGCAGTGCAAGATTAATACCAAATAGAAAACAAAAAAATGATGATGGGAAAATCTATATTAAAGGGGGCAATTTAGAAAGGGGGCAATTACAAGAACCAGTTCAACAAATCTCAACCTAGTGAAATGCACACTGTCTGTCTACAAATATAACTGTTCAACACCTGTAATTAAACTGTCCACCTATCCCAGTAACGGAAGTCATTAAAAGGGGTTCTGCACTAATCAACTCAGTGTAGAGATACCAATACATTACCTGCATTGATCTCATTCATTGCCCGCTTCACATGCTCATCTGGTTCTATATCAACAATGAGCGTTTGCACAATCTCGTATCCATAAGCAGACATAGCCTGCAAGAAATTATTAGATGATGACATTAGACCATCGGGGAAAATGCCAAAATTTGTGAAAGCTTGATCTCTAACTATGTATTCACTTTTCACAATATGACAAGGCCAAATACTTAATCTAGATGATTACCTTTCCAAGTTCATCTTCCACAGCTTTGGCTATCTCATTCTTCTGCTCAAACACATCATCGAGATTAAGTTTTGGGACACTGGCCCTTATTACTAAAGAGGAAAAAAATATATACAGGGAAGACCTGCTCAGCTTACAATGTGAAGAAAAAATTAATCAGAAATCAAAGGTATCAAGAATAGCAAATATCCAACTGTACTACACTTGTTACCATCAAAAACATAAGCCTGGATTTGAGTCCTTGTGTTGGTTAGTTTGTAGAAAGCATCACCTGCCTTGTCTGCCAGGGCACGATATTGAATAGATGCAACAACATTGACAAAAACGTTGTCCTAAAAGTAAAAACAAAGATCAGTCTATATCAGCTACCACTAGAGTGCCATGAATCATCCAAATTGCAAGCACCCACATGTATAAAAACTAAATTACCATCCATTGTTGATAGCTGGACAACTGTGTATTGAAGGCAGAGTAAGACAAGAAAGGATACAAAGTGAAGCCAGTATAGATTTATATGCATACTCATGATTCACTATGCTCATGCTGTCGATATGTCCTGACCACTCTAAAGAAAAAGCATATTTATAAAAATAAAAGGGAAAGAAAAGGACAGAGAGGGTTAACAGTGTTTGAATAGTGAATAAACAGACCTTCGTCTTGGTCTCACATCGAACATCCAGCTGCTGCAACCTCAGAGACAGATGGCCTGCGAGCTGGCTTCCAAGAAACCAAGGAAGGCAATGACATCCAGGATCAAGAACTGCTTCGAACTTTCCAAATGTCTCCTTTATAGCTACTGAGGACTGATCAACTTGTACGCAACAACACAGATTGCCCATCTTCTCTGCACTCAAAGACATCTCGAAAGAACATATAAGCCACCCAAAAGGGATTTAACAAGATAGGCAAAATTAATACAGATTTGATTACAGTCTATGTTATTAAAAAGAAGAAGAAGAAGAAGAAGAAGCACAAACTGCGAAGAATCCTAATTGGGGTCCAAAAATTTAACAAAACCCATCTCAAAATTTAGGAAAGATTTTGAGACATCTGAAACATGACCAAGAAGGAGGGGAAACACAAACCTCAATCACCTCTGTTGTATTTTTTAGAGAAAGGGACTTAGAAATTAACAAGCAAACGAAATGGAGATTTAAGAGAGAGAATGATGTCAAACAAAGGACTTTCCATACTAAATTACAAGTTCACAGAGTTTTTTTCTAACAATAACGTCACCTTAGGACTAAGTATAGAATTTAAGAATTGAAATTCAGATACAACAACAACAACAACAACAACAACAATGAATTGAAATCGCAGGGAGAGAGATGAGAAATTTACCTGGCTTTAAGCAAAGGGAAAGGAAGCCGAAACAGAGCCGTTGACGAGCGACGTTTATTCTTGTTATTCTATTTCTGTAGCACTGATAAACCCGGTCTGTTAGATTGACAACATTCGGATGTCAAAAATGTTAATGGAAAATGTAATTGCTTTCAACTCGATTAACTAATTACTCAATTCATAATTAAATTAAAATTAAAGTTGAATTAAAAAAAAATTATTAATCTAAGTTCATATACCTAACATGTAATCAAGAATTTAAATTTACCAATCTGATTTATCAACAATGTTCTATAGCATATAGGAATATAAATTATTATTTTATTGTCACTTTCACTGCCACTTCTTTTTATCATCTATTTCAATTAAATTATATGTTGAATTTAATTTAATTAATAATTTATTATAATCATTATATTTAAAATTAAATATTAAATTACTTGAATTCAATTATATTGTTTAGAATATTTATGTAAATAAGTTAAATTAATAATTTTAATTATTTTATTTTTAATTTAAAATTTATTTTTATTATAGAAATCAGAATAATATGTTAGCAATGTTAGCTTGAAAATAGAACTGAAATGATATATGAATTTTTTATTATTATTTTTTCATTTTGAATAAAGCATGAACTTATAAATATTTTCTTATTTTATTAATGCTATTTTTTAATTTTAATATGCTATAAAATTACACATGTTTTTCAATCTCAACCTTTTTCATTTTTTTTCTTTTAAATTTGGTCTATATTTTTTTCATTGCTATTTATTTTGTTTGTGATTATTTTTAAATTTTGTTTTTACAATTTCATCATTTATAAGTTTTTTTCCTTTCAAATTTGATTCTTATTTTTTTATTGCTATCTTTTTTAGTAAATTTTTTAAGTTGATATTTTTTTTCATGATATCATCATTTAAAATTAAATTAATTAAAAATTAAATTTTTTTATTGAACCTGGTTCCAGAATTTCATAGGTTACTAGGTTTAAAAATTAAATTGAGTTTAGAAAGTTTATTCAGGTTGGCTTAAGTTTATTTTTATTTTTATTTTTTAGAGTTTTTTTATATTTTTTATAGTTTGACTTCTATGAAATTAGTTTCAGATTTATGATTAAATTCATTAGTTTCAAAGGTTAATATGTGTTGAATTTTTTTAATTGATTTATTTTAATTTCATCTTTCTATATTTAATTTATTTAAAATTAATCTTTCTATTATTTTTTTACTTTCCTTTATATTAAGTGTTCCCAATCTTATGCTCATGATTATAAAATTAACAAGTTAACTCAATTTTATTTTTTATTTTTTTTGTTATAAGGTTAGTTCAAGTTCATAATCAGACTCACTGGTTTTAAAGGTTAAAATATATTATTTTTTAAAATTGAATTATTTTAATTTAATCGTTCAACAATTTAATTTATTAAAAATTGATCTTCATATTCTTTTTTTTCTTTCATTTCCTTTCAATATGGTTATAATGTTCATTTATGTTTTAACAATTTCATCCTCCATGAGTTTCTTTTCCTATTTAATTTGATCCTAATTTTTTTATTATTCTCTTTTTTTCTTTGGAAAATGTTTTAAATTCATATTTCTATTATTATTTGTATTATAAATATTATTATTGTAATTATAATTAAAAGTATTAATATTAAAAATAGTATTATAGGTGTTACAAATATTGTTATTTCTATTATAATTAATAGTATTAATATTAAAAATTTTATTATTTCTTATAAAGATTATTATTTTTATTATAATTTTTATTATTTCCTATAAAGATTATTATTTTTATTATAATTAATATTCTTAACAAAATAATTTATAAAATTGAAAACAATTATTATCAATATCGAAAAATAACCATAGATTTGATTTGAAAGGTAAACTTAAATATTATTATTATTACTATTATTATTATTATTAAATTTTAAAAATTACTATTATTACTATTGAAGAAAAATTATTATTTTTTTAAAGATTAAAAGATATAAAAATTTGAATAGAAAATTTGAATATTATTATTTATATTATTAATATTATTATTGGATCTAGTGTTGCAATTAAATTCAATATTTTTGAATCTTAGATTTTTTTTAATATATTTTTTATGAAAATAAAAATTTTACTCGCGATAGAGGCGCGGGCAATCTAAATTAATAAGGTATGAGCTAGAGTCATTAAAAACATTACCAAATAATAATCCTAAAAAGGACTTGCATGACTAGTTATAAGAAACAATAAAAGGCATGGGAAATATTTTATGCCCTTGGCTCCTTTTACAATTTAATGTAGACTTTCATATTAATTGTTTTTTCACTTTGATCATTTAAGTTTTTTCTCCTCAATTCAACCATTTCATAGCAAAATTATTGTTTAATTGTGTCTAATTTATTGAAAAAAAATTATAATTAAAAGATAAAAAAAAATCATGAAAATTTGATGGTGAAAAACAATTAATATCAGAGTCTACAGTGAATTTTACAATTCACTATAGACTCCCACGTTAATTGTTTTTTTCACTTTGATCATCCAATGTATTTCTCCTTGATTCAACCATTTTATAGTCAAATTGATGGTCAATTGGGTCTAATTTATTAAAAAAGATCATAATTAAAAGATGAAGGACAGGAGTGGAAAAATCATGAAAACTTGGTGGCACCTTCAAAGCTTATGCAAAAAGTTTATTTTGTTCCTTATACCTCTTAATTTATTTCTTTTATGTCCCTTTGGTTTTTTATAGTCCATAAATTTTTTTTTTTATTGTTTTATGATTAATACTTAAAAGTGCAATTTTATCAAGGTTTTATATCATCATTCTGCACTTGAAGTATCAATAACTCCTTAACTAAAACATGTTAATAATATATCCAATAATATAAGATACCTTTAATTTATGGTAAATGTTCATTTTAAATGCAGGTCTATCACATAAATAAAAGGATTGATTGATGAATTTAAAAACTAAAATTGAAAGGACAAAGAGATGGTCAAACTTAGAAAAGAGATGTCGG